TGTGACAGCCGCTTTCTGTCCGTGTGCTTCGGATGTGTGCACTCAGAAAACCGTATATCATAAGTTTAAACTCATATGGTTTAAAACGCATGATTTCAGCACGATAAACATGATAATCAGAACCAAAACAGATGTTTTTTAGCAGGTACCAGCTGTAATGGCGCAGCTCTATTCTGGAAAAGAGGGCGGGGATCAGCAGCTCATTTGCATTTAAAGACACAGGCCCGAAAAACAGCGTGTTTCTGCTTCCACTCAAAATAGGCATTTTCAAAATGATATAATAAATGATCTGTGGAGTATTTTGAGCTGAAACTTCACAGACACAGGGGGACACCTGAGACTTATATTACATATTGTAAAAAGGGGCATAATATGTCACCTTTAAAACACCAAAATAATTTAGTATGATCTACCATGAAGTTTTCAGAATAAATGAAATTAAAATAAATAAATAAATCCTATTCTACTGTCTCGTCCCAAGACCCCACCATGCCAGTGAAAGCGGATCACTTGAAGGTGTTTAAAAAGCCTACCTGATAAAACCACTCAGTGCATCTAAGACTAATATAACATGACTCATACATGTGTTTGCCAGTGGCTCTTAGTTAACAGCTAGATGTCAGAACATGCTATTTCAGCAGTTCATGAGTGAAAGAGATGAGCGCGCACGCAGCTCACCCGCGTTCATGGAACAGCTGGACGCGCGCGCTCTCTGTCCACGGTACTGAACGAGCTCACGCGCCAGATCTCTGTTCTTGCTCTTTCTTTGTCATTTTCCTGGTTCGGGCTTTTCCGAAGGCGAATTCTGATGGAATATTCTCGTTTATAGTCGAAAAGATGTCGGCAAAATGGAAAACCGAAGAACTGCAGAAGTCGAAGGAAAGGGAGTTCCAGAGGACATTTCAGTGGCTGTGAATCAAGCTTTTAATGTATTGATTGATCTCGGTGTTTTATAAGTCGTCTACGAGGAATAAAAACGCATTTTTAACTGGGTCGAAAAATACTGCTCAGGTTTCCACACTCGAGGAATATGCTGAAACATCTTATAGCCCATCCAAATTAAACATTTCTTATTAATATCGAGTGGAATATTGTCTTTGGAGATGGATACGATGAAGGAACGAGTTTTGGCCCCCGGTAAGGAAAGATTGAGGAATCTGGCCGGGAAAACCCTGGGACACATGCACAGGTATCAGCCCTTCCTTTGAGAAAACAAGACAAAATAACAAAATCACTAATGATCTTTACAAAAATATTAATCGTTTATTATCTCGATGTCAAAATACCATTTAGGCAACATGTCTACTGAAATTCAAATGATTTTTTCCTCCTCCGATTACCACATAAGCATGGCTATATATATATATATATATATATATATATATATATCACATAATTCATAATGATTCATCAATCTGCAATGTAGCGCGTTCTTTTCGCCATTTTTCGTTAGGAGAAAATACGATAGAAGTGACTATACGCGTTAAAGATCGTGATGTGATCGTGTATAGATCTGGAGATGAAAGAATTCCTCCGAGGATCGCTCCTCTGCCCACAGCGCTCCTGAATCCATTCATAATTCATGAAAAGAAAGTCGTGACATGACGAGCGAAGAATAAATCCTTTTCAACAAATTGGTATTATTATTATTATTGGTATATTTTTGTATCTATTTTTAAACGATAAAGTAAAAACAAACTAATGATTTTAGTAGCTCTTAATCTCAGCATTTTCCGTTTTACCTGGTGGTCAAAATCGTCCAGATTCTTTGTACTTTATGAAAACAGTGGATTTTTCAGAGCCGCGTGTGTGTGTGTGTTGTGTATATTACATTTAGGCCAGAGGTTATGAAACGCTTAGAGTCAGAACGGTTCAGTATATGGTTTACATCACAGAAAATAAAATAAAAATCTTCGCTATGATCAGATACTACACAACGATCATTCGTATATACCACAACATTATAAAAATATTAAATCATATTTTTTCATGTAATTCGTTTTGTATACTGGATTATTTCGATATTTTAATGTGTGTTTCGTATATTTAACCGTCGAAGCAGCCACAAAAATATGTAATCAACGAAAAAAATTCGTACTGTACTATATCAAGCTACGGTCAGGTCTGCATTAATAAGCTATAATGTATTTCGATAAAAAAAAATGCTGCAATGCGGTTCAAATAACTCAGTTTGCCAAGTCGTGACAAAAGATTAGAATTGAGATATACGATAGAACTCTGTCTGTCTTCTTCATTTGCTGAATGGCCGATGGATTGAATTATTAAATAAAATAAAACATTTTTGATAACTTCCTCTCCGCAGACTCTATGGAACGAATTTAATTAATTAATTAAAATAATAATAATAATAATAATAATAGTCGTCTCTCAGAAAACAGATGAGTATTTTGTATGATCTATTAGCAAACATAGAACGTTCCCCTAACGTTCCGTGTGTTTTTGTCTTTTTTTTGAAATTCATAACGTTCTACGAACGTTTTTGGGAACGTAACAGGGACGTTTTTGTGTGATGATCGAACAGTTAAACGTTCTTATGGTTATTTTATCTTGCTTTACTTTAACACTCCCAGAACGCTCCAGAAACACACACACACAAATGGAAAGAAAGAAAAGAATTGCTGCCCTTGAGACATTTGTTTCAGAAAATGAGCAGCGCTGTATCTTCGCAGGGTGATGGAGAAGAAGCAGAAAACGGGTGAGGTGATCGAGCTGACGGAGGAAGGGCGGCCCGCGCAGCTCCAGGAGAAGAAAGCGCCGCTGTGCGACTGCACGTGCTTCGGGCTCCCGCGCCGCTACATCATCGCCATCATGAGCGGCCTCGGCTTCTGCATCTCGTTCGGGATCCGCTGCAACCTCGGAGTCGCGATCGTCGGCATGGTCAACAACAGCACCGTTCACCGGGGCGGCAAGATCATCATCACAGAGGTGAGATCACCTGTCGGGGCCCAAGCTCCTCCCTCGAGTCTCCTGCCAGTCAGAGCATCTCACCATCTGAGTCCTTTAGATGAAGAAGAAGAAAAAAAAAAAAAACAGTTCACAACATTCACTGTTTCACAAAAAAATATATATATAAGAAATAAAAAAATCTACATTTTATGAGGAAAATAAATGCAAACAGTTTCTTTCAAAGCGTTTAACGTGAAAGTTTTTTTTTCTTTACATTTTTTTTTCTCCCCCAAAGAAAGCGAAGTTTAACTGGGATCCGGAGACGGTGGGAATGATCCACGGCTCGTTTTTCTGGGGCTATATAGTGACACAGATCCCAGGAGGATATATATGCTCACGACTGGCTGCTAACAGGTAATTCACAATGCGCATTTATCTCGATATTAAAATGGTTTCATAGGCTACATTTAATTTCTTTCTAAATATAACAAATATTTATTTATTTATTTATGTCTTATTTTACATAGTGGTTTGGCAAGAGTTGTAATGCTTTTTTTAAAGGCCAAATCATGTCGTTTGTGTGCTTTATTTGGTTGCCATGAGCCCTGAATGCAGACGAGCAGGCACGCTTTCCTCTGGAGAGCTCATTAACCAGCAGGCAGCCTCACGTGACTCTGTGTGTTTCTCACATTTTCTCTGTTCACTGTGAGACACGTCCTGATTCAACAAAACTTCCTTTGACTGAAATAGACTCATATTTTTAGATACCTAGTATGTAGATATGTAGTAGATACCTATAGCATATATATATATATATATATATACACACGTCTATGTAATTATATATGTACTTTACATATGCACACCATAAATATGCATATGCACCATATATATTCATATTTGATCAATTAATGGTTCATAAATACATTTATGTAAATTGTATTCTAAAATGTTATAAATGGTGTATTATTGCACAAAATTGCCAAGAGATGTAGTCTGTTAAATCACCTTTATTTATATAGTGCGTTATACAATGCAGCTGCTTAAAAGCAGCTTCACAGTACACTCTAAAAAATGCTGGGTTATATTTAACCCAGCATTTTTTAGAGTGTAATAATCAGGAAAATAACAGAATCAGTGATGCAGACTTCTTCAAATATGAGATAAATTCAGAGTCTGCTGTAAAGCAGCTCTACAGATGACATTACTGAATGTCATTTTACAATATAGTAAAATACAAATGCAAAAATAAAAAATACTAAATAGTAAAGACAGTAGCCTGTATATATAGGAGCAAGTCTGTCTGAGCATCTGTTAAATGTGGTTTTTACATTGTGTTCTTACATCTTGGCTTTGAGAGGGTTCACTTACATGAATTTGATTTCACAGATTGAAACAGATGGCTGCAGCCTATGTAAATTAGATCTCACACAATAAATAAAAAATGTGTTTTCCTGCCTTTGAGCATTCTTAGAATGATTCCTCTACTAGACACTGATGCCTTCGGCTACTATTGTCTACACAGTAAATGTTATTTACTATCGATCTTGGCATTTATTTCTTTTTTTTCTTTTTTGCATCTGCTCTACAGATCAGTCAGTGTTTGGTTGCTGCCGATTGGATATAGTTGAACTGCCCAATCTATGATTTCAAACCATTAGAAACTATTAGCAAATTAATTTTGTGCACACTTTGATCTGCAGGGTGTTTGGTGCTGCTATCCTGCTCACGTCGATTCTCAATATGTTCATCCCCTCTGCTGCGCGTGTGCACTACGGCTGTGTCATGTTCGTCAGGATACTGCAGGGCCTCGTCGAAGTAAGACTCCGTTCTCTCTTTTAATCCATGTAGTGTTTATTCATTTGCTGATTAGTAATTCAACAGATGTTTTACACTAACCATATTTCAGGTTCAGTCCCACCAGAGCGACCAGATGTTGGAATATTATTACGGGGTCAAGTTTAGTTTGACAGCATTTGTGGCATAATGCCAGTTAGCAGTAATTAGGCAGTCATTTCGACTCATCTCTCAGTTCAAAACAAACAAAACTTGTCTTTATGATAATGATGAATGTTAAAAATACACAGTTTAAGTCAAAAGTATATAGCACTTGTGACAACATCCCTGTGTGACAACTAGCCCCACTCTGCCCCATTACAACCAGTGTGTGACTTCTTGTTCTGTCTCCTTTAATAATAATAATATCATAATAATAAAAAGGGTTAACAGGACATCACATCAGTGATGTCAGACTCACGTCACGTTCAGGTGCATTATCCCACTGACTGTACATCAGTACAACAGACACACTGAAAGCACAGGAGTGGCGGATTAGAAGAGAACAAACAAATTATGAAAAATGAAACGCTTGAAAGGAGAGAACAGGCTTGTGATGTCATCTCTTGAACACTGAAAGAGTTTTAGCAGCTGCTTGCTGCTTTGTCTGTGTGCTGCTCCTCTGCTATATTGTTCACAATGAGTGTCGACTGTATATGAATTAAAAGCCATTTGAGGTTTTATTGTAAGCACAGTAGCTTGTGTTGTGTGTATTGACATTAGCTCTGTGGATGTGCTCTCCTCTGCTGGCCGCAGCAATTTGTGTCTATCAGTGACTGATTGTGTGACAATTAGCTGCTAATGAAGATTTAATGGGGGGCATTAGTGTGTTTGTGGTGAATCAGATCTGATCAGACTGCGTTTGTGCAAGTCTGCATGGATCATTAATCCTTATTTGAATTGCCACTGTATGTGTTCATTTGTTAAAGGTTAGATTTCGCTCTGTTTTTTATGACCCATGTAAGACATCCCATGAATGATTTTAAATAATTTATTACATAATGAATGTAAATCCACAGCATATATACACATATATTATCTCATTTATATAACACAGCCCTGCTGATGTGAAAAAGGCCTAATATTACCTAATCTGATGATGCTAATTTAAAAATATCAATAAAATCTTTACATTATATTTCGCAAAATAATGATTTTTCAGAAATATATAATGTATTATGTGTATATACTATATATATATATACACACACACACACACACACACACACACACACACGCACGCACGCACGCACGCAC